GGGCTGGAAAATCCACATGGTTCATCTGCCTTTACATGAGAGCGACAAAGTAAAGTAAAGAAATCCGTGCGATAGACAAGGATGGCTATAGTGAAGACGTTTCATAATCTGAATAGTCACCGCCCGTTTCGGGTTAGAACTATTCAGATTATGAAACGTCTTCAATGTAACCATCCTTGTCTATCGCACGGATTTCTATCACTTACTTTATCGCTCTCACGTAACGGCCGATGTACCATGGGGACTTTCCGAACATGTATATGGTAATGTAATATATTGCAAGCTAACAGAGATTCGATCAGAGACTATGGTTTCTTTCTTTCTTGATTTATTACAGAAAGTAAAAATTCTTTGTTTAATAATTTTATTAAAAAACTTGAATGGATAATTGTTATTTTGTAATATATTTTTTACTTTTTTGACGATTTTAGATCGGTAAATAGGACTGGTTAAGTGCAATGCTCTATTAATTAAACCGATAACTGCACATTTTTTGTATGTTATAGGATAATGAGAATTAAAATTTAAATATCTATCGGATGAAATAGGTTTTGTGAACCATTTAGTTAAAATTTTATTATTTGTGCGGATTAAGGTTAAATCAAGAAAGTTAATTTTGTTATTTTTTTCAATTTCAATACTAAATTGTAATTTGGGATAAAAACTGTTAAATGCATTTAAAATTGTATTGTCAATTTTATTTTCGGGAAGTGCGATAATGCAATCATTCTGTAACATCCTACATATAAAATTATATTAATATCTCGGAAACGGCTGATTTTTGGCACACAGTACCTATTACGAAAAAGTTGCATAATTCCATGTAAAATATAAATATCCCCTCAAATACAGGGTGTTCCATTTAAAAAAATACAACTTTGGTTCCAAAAACGAATCACCCAGTATAAGTCAAATTATTTTTAAAATGTGCATTTCTTGTCTCCCCACTCGAACCTATTTTGAAATATTTTGCCCCAATTATATTCTAGCCATAAATCAGCTTGCCACAGCGTTTACTCACCCTGTATATAGGGTGAGTCATTAATAATCGTACACAGCTTAATGGNATGGTACAACGTTCTTCTAAATAATCCTCACATAATTCTACCGCCTCCCCATACTCCTCAGCTAATTTTTCACAGTATTCTGGAGAAAAATAATTCCCCATTCCATAGACTGCTTCATGAGCTGTATCAAACTTGAGATTTGAGAAAGTCTGATGTAAATTTCGAACGTCACTTTCGAGATCTTTTATTTCCACTTCATTCACATATGCCATCCACATATTGTTTAGCAGTTATTCTAAAAAGCTGTACTGGTCTTGGTTGATGACACAACTGATTACAATAACTAATTATCACTCTACGTTTAAATAACCAGAAATCAGTATAACGTTTACAAATTATTTTACGACAAACAGAACACTGTTTTATCTCCACCGAACCAACCATAATAATGTTCCTAGCTAGCTTCTTGCTTGTTTTATAGCGTCTATGAGCTCTCCCTTCCATGTGAACATATTATTATTTTTGGAAATGCCAGATGTGCATTCTATTAATAGATATGATGTAATGTTTTATGTTTAGAAATGATGGCACCGGATGTGGCTATTTTTAGATATGATTCTATTTTAAAAAATGATGTCAAGCCAGATGTGTATTCTATTAATAGATACATTCTATTTTTAGAAATGATGCCTGTGGCTACTTTTAGATGATTCTATTTTTAAAATGATTTCATGCCGGATGTACTGGTCATCGACCTTGTGGTCTATGACCTGAACACTGAACTTCACATGCACATTGTGTTTGCTCTCTCATATCTCTACTACTGTGATGGTAAATTTTACCCACGTAAACCCATGTTGGAACGTGTATGATGAAAATTTGCAAATTTCGTTTTAGTAGCGGACTGAGCACCTAAGAGTTAAGCTAGTTATCAAATTTTATAAATTTACCTCAACTGGTTTCGAAGTTATTTAGAAAAAATCATCGTCAGAGTGGTCCATTTAAGTGGGTATAACTTCCTTAGGAAGTTTATATAAAGAAAAAGTAATCTTTTTTGACATAGAACACCCTGTAGAAATATTGCCCCCTAATTTCTTTCGGGACACCCTGTATACACAGATGAAGAACTAAAAGGACTCTCAATTTTATTTATTAGTATTGTCGATTTAGTGAACAAAAATCTGTTAATTGGCTAATGAAGTGAAGTATTTGTTTGCGAAATCGTTACAGTTAACCAATTTTAGGAGATTGTTCCATGAGCAAGTTTCACGTAACAGCCCTATACAATTTGATTTAAAAAAGCCTGTTACTTGGAAGTGGCCTAGTTAAAATCAATTAATTCAATAAGAAAAGAAAAACATTTTTGTGTAATAAGAATAAACGAGTTAATTTAATAAAATACATAAAAATAACACAGCCACACAGAAAAAAAAAGTTGGGTATACTTTTTATGCGACATATATTTTTTGTAGTAATTTAGCCTCCTGAACACGAATCTGGGGTCAGAATTGGCCCATCACGTCACAATTTTTTCCTAACCTCAAAAAACTGAAAAATAGTGAAAATTGATGAAAATTTACTGNGAGACTATGGTTTCTTTCTTTCTTGATTTATTACAGAAAGTAAAAATTCTTTGTTTAATAATTTCATTAAAAAACTTGAATGGATAATTGTTATTTTGTAATATATTTTTTACTTTTTTGACGATTTTAGATCGGTAAATAGGACTGGTTAAGTGCAATGCTCTATTAATTAAACCGATAACTGCACATTTTTTGTATGTTATAGGATAATGAGAATTAAAATTTAAATATCTATCGGATGAAATAGGTTTTGTGAACCATTTAGTTAAAATTTTATTATTTGTGCGGATTAAGGTTAAATCAAGAAAGTTAATTTTGTTATTTTTTTCAATTTCAATACTAAATTGTAATTTGGGATGAAAACTGTTAAATGCATTTAAAATATTGTCAATTTTATTTTCGGGAAGTGCGATAATGCAATCATTCTGTAACATCCTACATATAAAATTATATTTCGGAAACGGCTGATGTTTGGCACACAGTACCTATTACGAAAAAGTTGCATAATTCCATGTAAAATATAAATATCCACTCAAATACAGGGTGTTCCATTTAAAAAAAAATACATCTTTGGTTCCAAAAACGAATCACCCAGTATAAGTCAAATTATTTTTAAAATGTGCATTTCTTGTCTCCCCACTCGAACCTATTTTGAAATATTTTGCCCCAATTATATTCTAGCCATAAATCAGCTTGCCACAGCGTTTACTCACCCTGTATATAGAGTGAGTCATTAATAATCGTACACAGCTTAATGGCAGACTGTTAACGTCAAAATATAGCGATTTAGCCGAACATGCCTTAGTAAATTTGTAACAAGTATACCTTCTTATATTTAGAATTGAACGTAGTTCAACATTTTCCAATTAAAAACTTCAAAATTGTAAAATACTAAAAGTTGGATATATTTTTACATTGATAGGACAGTATAACTGGCGTCTCCTAGACGTGACCCCAACGCTGTTGTGCATATTCGTATTTGCCACCACAAAAAACGTAAAACTATAAATTTTCAAAACAATTGGTCCATACATACTTAAAATATAGCGAAAAATCGAAAATATTTTTTCAACTTTAACACCCTGTAGAACGAACAGGAGCAACAATTGATTAAGGCATGTTTGGCTCAATCACTATATTTTGACGTTAACAATCTGCCATTAAGCTGTGAACCATTATTAATGACTCACCCTGTATATCTATACAGATATGTTACTAATTTTAAATAAAACTAATATGTTTTAAAATAATTATTTTTGTTTTAAAAAACGAACAACAAAAATAAATAAAGATGCTAATCTGATGTATACGAAATATTTTTTCAAAATTGTTTTAGGTTTTTACAGAAAATTATGTGTTACTATTAAAGCAGTATATGCATTTAATTTGTAAATCTCAGTGTCAATGACCTCTGACATATAGGTACACAGATGAAGAACTAAATTTTATTTATTAATATTGTCGATTTGGTGAACGAAAATCTGTTAATTGGCTAATGAATGAAGTTTTTGTTTGCGAAATCTTTAGAATTAAGCAATTTTGGGAGATGAGCAAGTTTCACGTAACAGCCCTATACCTATACAATTTGATTTTAAAAATTCTATTACTTAGAAGTGGCCTAGTTAAAAACAATTAATTCAATAAGAAATTAAAAACATTGTTGTGTAATAAGAATAAACGAGTTAATTTAATAAAATACATAAAAATAATTATTAAATTCAGTAATGTTGTGGTTATTTCGAAGAAAATCGTTAACTACACTTGATTAAATTCATTATATGGACTATCTGTAAATGTCATACACAGATGATATGTCTATAATAATTCATTAGATCAAGTCTAGTTCACATTTTTCCTTCCCGTCTTTTATACGTTTAAGAAAAAAACACGTATCTTAGTGAGCATTTCAGTTTGCAGAATCACTAGCATTTCAAAATAACCTATGTAATATTATTTTCATGTACTTCACATCGCTTCAATTCCACATGACCATATACTATTATGATAGTAATAAAATATATAAATATCTGAATTTTCTGTAACTACATTTGGATATGAATTTTACAATTATTGTTTTAATTTGTTATTTGTCTTTTTTATCCGTTTTGCTCCATTGTATATCATTACAATTCTCAATGTTACAATTTCTTTGTACAGATTATTGCCTTTTATAAGTCGTAATTTTGAATAAAGCAGAAATTCTACTGAAACGTCGGCAAAGTATTCAATGAACATCAGAAATCAATATATGTCCAAATATCTCATTCTTTATTTAAGTATTAATGAATGGATAATATGCAATATGTTCCACATTCATCATAAACAATTTTTGTGTAGGTACTTATAAAATATTTATGATATTTAGTTGTTGCTACAAGAGGTAAAATAATAAAATTATATAGATACCTACCTGTTTTTGGCCAAAGAGNTGAGGTTAGGAAAAAATTGTGACGTGATGCGCCAATTCTGACCCCAGATTCGTGTTCAGGAGGCCAAATTACTACGAAAAATATATGTCGCATAAAGAGTATACCCAACTTTTTTTTTCTGTGTGGCTGTGAATTATTAAATTCAGTAATGTTGTGGTTATTTCGAAGAAAATCATCAACTACACTTGGTTAAATTCATTATTATATATGGACTATCTGTAAATGTCATACACAAATGATCTGAGAATAATAATAATTGATTAGATCAAATCTAGTTCACATTTTTCCTTCTCGTCTCTTATACGTCTACGAAAAAAACACGTAGGTATCTTGGTGAGCATTTTAGTTTGCAGAATCATTAGCATTTCAAAATAACCTATGCAATATTATTTTCATGTATTTCACATCGCTTCAATTCCACATGACCATTTACTATTATGATAGTAATAAAATAATTGAATATTTGAATTTTCTGTAATTACATTTGGATACGAATTTTACAATTATTGTTTCAATTTGTTATTTGTCTTTTTTATCCGTTATATATCATTACAATTCTCAATGTTATAATTTCTTTGTACATATTATTCCCTTTTATAACTTGTAATTTTGAATAAAGCAGAAATTCTGCTGAAACGTCGGCAAAGTATTCAATGAACATCAGAAATAAATATATGTCCAAATATCTCGTTCTTTATTTAAGCATTAATTAATGGATAATATGCAATATGTTCGGCATTCATCATAAACAATTTTTGTGTAGGTACTTATAAAATATTTATGATATTTAGTTGTTGCTAAAAGAGGTAAAATAATAAAATTATATAGATACCTGTTTTTGCCCAAAGAGCATTCACAGCAATATTAAAAGGTCGAAATTCTTCATGCATTCCTAACACACACATTGACATGCCATATTTAGCAATTGTATATGCTGTGTGATCTTTAAACCATTGTGGCTTCATACTGAGTGGTGGTGATAAATTTAGGATATGAGCATGATTACTTTTCTTCAAATATGGAAGACATTCCTTCGACCTAAATAAAAACAAATATATACAGGCTGTCTACTATAAGAGGGCTCCTCCTATGTATCTCGCTTAACACACAATGCACGTCAAAAATCTTTATATGTTTTTTTGTTGCATTTTTTGAGGCCTTGATGCTTGTAAAATAAACTTGAGATTTATGGCCAACTTTATGAGAAATCATGAAAAACCGGAAAAATACCGAAAAAATTGGACCGTCTAACTTTTTTATTTCAAGAGGCAGAGAAAACTTATTTTAATAAAATTTCATGGCAAAATTTATATCTTTCACCTGGTGTAAACAAATTTTTGAAGTATCGGATGTAATTTGCTGTGCCCTCTACGCGGGCAAAACAAAAGTCATCGAAGCAGACTATGGCTACAAAAAATTGCTTGTTTTTCCTCTTTCACGCGATATACTGCATGTTGCTTGTATCTTTTATATTTATTACATTTTTTATAATTTTGTTATAAAAATGTAAACATTTTCATGTTAACGCAGAAATTGTTGTAGACAGTTAGACGACCCTAAACTTTCGGTACTTTTTCGGTTTTTTACGATCAGTCACAACGTTGTCCATGGATCTCAAATTTGTTTTTACGAGCATAAAGGCCTCAAAAAATGCATCAAAAAATATCTAAAGATTTTTCACGTGCGTCGTATATTAAGCGAGATTCATAGTAGTGACCCTCTTATAATAGACAGCCTATATATATATATATATATATATATATAGGCTGTCTATTATAAGAGGGTCACTACTATGAATCTCGCTTAATATACGACGCACGTGAAAAATCTTTAGATATTTTTTGATGCATTTTTTGAGGCCTTTATGCTCGTAAAAACAAATTTGAGATCCATGGACAACGTTGTGACTGATCGTAAAAAACCGAAAAAGTACCGAAAGTTTAGGGTCGTCTAACTGTCTACAACAATTTCTGCGTTAACATGAAAATGTTTACATTTTTATAACAAAATTATAAAAAATGTAATAAATATAAAAGATACAAGCAACATGCAGTATATCGCGTGAAAGAGGAAAAACAAGCAATTTTTNGTGGGAATAATCTTGAACCTTTTGTTTAATATTAAAATATATTTATTTTCTTGGAAATTGGGTTCTGGTGTGATAGTCGGTTAAAAAAAGGATAAAAGGAACAGAGAAACAGCAGCAATTTCTTTCTCGACGTTTCGTTCCTGATCCGTCAAGAAAGAAATCGCTGCTGTTTCTTTTATCCTTTCTTTAACCGACTATCACACCAGAACCCAATACCCAAGAAAATAAATATTTTAATATTAAACAAAATGTTCAAAAGGTTCAAGAAGATTTCCACGTTATATACAGTGTGTCCCGTTTTTCAGGATAACACCTCTGGAAATGTGAGAAGGCTATGGCTATAGCCAATTATTTTACAAATATTCTATATTCTTATTGATATGACAAAAGCGGTGCCTGCTACAATTTTTTAAAAGGGTCGTTTTTCCAGAAAGTAGTATTAGGCATTTTTTTATTTAAAAGATAATATTACCAGGCTATTCAACACCCACTAAAATACCCATATACCAAATTTGAACGACAAATGTCTATTGAGTGTTCTTTTATGTGGTGCCAAACTTCGAAAAATCAGACAATTAAAAATTATAATAAGCAGGTCAAAGATTACCATGAAAGTGAAAATAAATACCAATCGGACAAAGAAAGAATACAGGCACTATAAATTTAATACTTTTAATTATATTAATTCCTTATTATTAATTAATTATAAAAATAATAACTTGCAAAAAATGTAATGAATTATAAATACTAATACAAAAAAATTGCAAAACGTTAATCTAAATTAAGTTTTAGTTTTCTCCACCAAACCTCCTTGCAGTCGAACATATTTTTCCAATCCTCTTCTTATATTTAAAAATAATTTACATAGCCGTTGTGGAGTAATCTCTGAACAAGCTTGTCTTATGCAATAATTCATTAGGTCATCCAAAGTCCTTAGTGTGTTTTCATAAATTTTTTGTTTTCTAAAACCCCAAAAGTATAAATCCATAGTTCGAGAAAACTAAAATTTAATTTAGATCGTTTTGTTTAACAATTTAATATTTATAATTCATGTATGACCTACATTTCTTGTACGTTAATTATTATTTTTACTATAGCCGCAATTAAAAGTGTTAAATTTATATTGTCTACATTTTTTCTTTGCCCGATTGGCACCTGTTTTCACTTACATGGCAATCTTTGACCTGCTTATTATAATTTTTAGTTGTCTGATTGTTCGAAGTTTGGCACCCCATAAATAAAACACTCAAAAGACATTTGTTGTTCAAATTTGGTATGTGGGTATTTTGATGGGTGTTGAATAGCCTGGTAATATTATCTTTTTGATAAAAAAATGGCTAATACCACTTTCTGGAAAAACGACCCATTTAGAAAATCGTAGTAGGCCAGGCTTTTGTTACATCAATAAAATGATTAGTAGAATATAACCTCCCTTCAGGGTACTACTTGAAAAAAAATTGGCTTGAGGAAAGTTCACAGCCTTCTCACATTTCCAGAGGTGTTAACCTGAAAAACGGGACACATTGTATATGGGCCATTAGTGTGAGAAAGTACACTAACTCCCTTGTTACTTATAATACAGAAAAAAAGTTTATATAAAAGTTGTACAGAATCAAGAAACCTAAACTACAAAATTAATTTCAAACATACAGGGCGATGAGTAAAAACGGGACATGCTAAACATTACTTTTTTTAAATGGAACACCCTGTATATTTTTAAATAGTTGGATTTCTGAGAAAATTCTATATATGGCAATATAAACAGTTTATCATTTTAGTGCGGGGTTGCCAAGTTATGTAGAAAATTCTTAGAATTTTGGATAAAACATGACCTCGAAGAAGTTGTATTAACTTTCAACTACTAACACTTCGAGCAAAAATATTTGACAGAGTTATAGGCAAATGTTATTCAAAGGCTCCTATATTAGCTAATATCGATATTTTATACAGGGCATTTTTTATAAGACAATAACTTTTAGAAAGTTCAAACATGATTTTCAAAAATTTTTCAAATGGAACACCCTATATTTTATTGTTTTATTTTATTCGCATATCACTCCACTTCAACTTTTATTAAGCATGTTCTATACCTAAAATTCTTAGTTTTTAAGATATGGCAACATTTCTGAAAATACTTAATTTTTATTATTTTCGGTCGCACGAGATGGCTTTGGAAAAAACTGTCACATTGTGTCAACTTGTCTATACTATAAAATAATTTAATTATACTACATATTTGTTTATAAAAAAATCTTAATAGAACATAACATAGTTTATTTATTAAATGGAAATAAAATAAGAAAATAGATACGAAAATAAATCAAATATTTAATTTTACAACAAGTGTTCAAAATAACGGCCGTCTTGGTTTAGACATAGCTCTACACGTCGTTCAAATGTGGTGTTAACATTATTCAGAATATCAATATTGATATTTTGAAAAATTCGTAGAATTCGGTTTTTCATATCCTCTTTAGTAGTAGGGCGAGTTTGATATACCCGATCTTTTACATATCCCCACAGAAAATAGTCCATTTTTGTCAGATCAGGCGACCTAGCAGGCCAACTAATTGGTCCACCTCTTCCAACGCACTTCTCTGGAAATTCATTGTTTAAGAATCTACGAACTTCCTGCGTGTGGTGTACAGGGGCTCCATCATGTAAGTACCACATCCTCTGACGAATATTTAGCGGTATATTTTCTAATAAATTTTCCATAGTATTTTGTAGAGAATGAAGATATAGTTGCCCTGTTAAATGTTCGTCGAAAAAATAAGGCCCAATAACGTAATGTCCAATAATCCCGCCCCAAACATTGAGTGACCACCGGATTTGACTATGTGTCCTTATAAGCAACGGATTTTCAGAAGCATAATAATGAAAATTGTGTCTGTTCACGCTTCC